GAAGCCGTCTCCTAAGAAATCCCAACTTGTTAAGCTAAAGGAAGAAGACACATAACAAATGCCATTTACCAAACTGCTGAGTGGAATCTAAGTTTTGTGGCCTTCAGCAGTGTCCACCTAATTAACAAATTGGAAGATAAACGAAGATGACTTTTCAGCCTGTTTTCCTACAGCAAAGAACTGCCATGTTGTAGGGAACAGTGGTCGGAAGATCTCGCGATGTATGGAAAGGTTAGGAGAGGGAACCCCTTCCTATGGATGTTTAGGTTTACGCTAAGGGAAATGATGTGAATTGCCTACGCAGACATGAAGGCGGTAACGAAGGAGTGACTGTATATAAGAAGGTGTCAGTGAAGCAATAAACGCCATTTGCAGCATCCTCATACTGGTGTCAGTGCTCACTGGACCGGGGGCTGGAGTGAGGCCTCTGTGCCGTCTCAGCCGAAGGAGGTCGGTTGTCATGAACGGCAACACCATGTAGAAATAAAAAGGTCTGTTCCCTACAGCCTGACCTTCCCCAAAACACTGAGTGCCTAAAAGAACAATCATCATGTGACAATACCAAACTCCACAGACACTGAGCAGCTCTGCACACAGGCCCACTGTTCCCATCAAACAGTTCTGTTGTTTGAACAGAGCATCTCCTCCAGCAGAGTTGGCCAGTACTGCTTCCAAAAAAATCTTGAAAACAGAAGACTTTAGGGCTGGTAAACTACCCCTGTGAGTATGCAAGATGTAGAAACTAGCTACGGGATTGTGTTCAGCCTGGCACGAAGAAAAGCTACCTGGAAGAACTATAGTTCCTCTAGGCGAGGACAAGATAAGGTGAATAAACTGGTCTTCCAGAGCTCCTTACTGTCTCTCCTCATTTTGCTTTTTTTTTTAGGGTGTCATACTGAGAAAAAAAAAGTGGAAAACTGAGCATTCATTCAGGGCACTCACCTCTACAAGCAGCGTATTTGCATGTCTACTAGTGATCAACAGCAGCAACAATAAAATTCCTACCACCCTAAGTCACCTAGACCTAAGCTCCAAAGTATTTCATCTGAGTAGCACACCAGAGGTATGGAATAACAGAAAACCCACAATATACTTTAATACAGAATCAACATACATTGTATAATACTGTACTAAGAGACAACACAGGCAAGGCTGTCACAAAAATACAGGCACTGCTAATATATTGGTTTAGATTACAGGAAATTATAGTTTGAATGCAGATGTGGAACAGACACCCCCCCTCCCCCTTACATTCAGTCACCAGAGCCTGAAGGCTATGGGAGGAACAAGAGCAATAAAAACAAATCAAACTATTTTGAACAGCACCCAAGCAAACAGGCCCATGTGTACCAGAAGTATAATAACCAGAAGACAACAGGTTCATATTAATGTTTATTTTCATATATGTACAACTTAAGAAACAAATCTCAATTTGAAAAAGTTCAGAAGTTATCTTTAAACAACACAACATAGACATACCTTTGAGGTGGCAAATATTACTTCTATTAAGGCTCTCATGAAAGGATATCATGGATATCATGCAAATGCAATTAAAGAGTACATTACATTTCAAAATAGGCAAACTAAGTTCAACTTTAACTTTTTCAGAAAAAGAACATATCAAACATTAGAACTGTGACCCACTAAAGCATTTACATACATGCCTGAAGCTAAGTACACGGACTAGATAAACTTAAGTAAAATGTAACAACTGTCAAGCTCTGTTAACCAGATCAGAACTGCAGTTAGCGATCAATCTCTTCCAGCACCACAAGTGCCAATGTCTGCACCAACCTCATCATTTTACATTCACATAAACCAGTACTGACTGCAAAATTCCACACGTTTTTTAAACCTGTAAGGCTTTGGCATTTATTTATGGTCACTGAAAGTACTTAATCCCTCCACTGAAGGTGGGGAGGAGCCATGCACAGAGAGTGCCTGCAACACAGCAGTGCACAGCAGCAACTGCAGGCACTGCACAACAAAGTTACTTCCATCAGGCATTTAGAAAATTCTGATTAATTTTTGTATACTGCATCCCTTGCTTATGATCTCAAACAGTGAAAGCTGTATTTTTTTTAAACCATAACCAGCACTAGCACTAAATCAAACAAGCAATGCTAAAAAATTCTTACTTAATATTTCCATACAGTAACACTACTTGTGCAAAAAGTATCTAAAGATGATCTAATAATACCAGCAAGAAGAAAGTTCATTCCTTCTCTATGTCATTATAACAAACTAAAATTAAATATAATGAAAATGGTCAGCAGTGTGACTTTTTTGGTGTCATCACCAACATAACTCAAAAATAAAGGACTGATCATTTGAAAGTTATGAATATGTGAATAGAAAAACACCACAACTGTTGTGACCTTTCCCAGGAAGTTATGTGCACTACCTGATGTGTGAAAGGTGCTGGATGACTTTTTCTTTCTTCAAGCCTAATGCTAACACAATCAAACTTCAGCTGTCCACCAAAAAAAACCTACTAAGTTATTTCCAAAATTTTGTATCTTGTAATAATTTTGGCAACACTCAAACTGCCTAAAGGCCCAGACTTTTCAAAGTTTTCTATCACATTACATTCAGTGCTTACTAATTTCTAACTAGCAGTATTCCTCACCTAAGAAAACAGCACTTAAAAGTAGGAAGATTCTTTTATTTCTGCCATCTAATTTTGAGTTGCAGCAGCACATCATTTAAAATACTGCTAGCCATATACTGCGTGTGTATCTGCAACTAGGAGAAGAAAAAGAGAAAAGATCCATTTTACTTTAATCCTGACCAACAGCTGTTAGCAATTTTCTTTAGTTACCACTGTAGGACAATGATGGATGGGAAGACTCAATACGCTGAGGAGCTAGCATAGAGTGTGCAAGTGCTCTCAAGGACTGTTGTTCAACAGCACATTCAGTTTAACTAGGGACTACAGAATGCAGGAGATAACAGATAGTTCCTGGGAGCATCTATCATTCTTCAGAGAAGCTGTCTGATCAAGGGGATAGGATCTAGAAGAACAATTGCATGATCTTTTGCTATACAGCTTGTACATCATGTCTTTGAGGAAGAGAGTGAACATGAACTCAAGTGGTAACTCAAACTAAAAGATCTGCATAAAAGAATACATTGAGATATTCTAAGACTTTTCATACACTTTGCAACCCAGAGAAACTGGATACACGAAACATGCACGTTTAACAAAGCTGATCTACAATAAACAAAACCAGAATACACTTATTTCAAGACTTAAAACATTAAAATATTCATCCAACGCTGAATAGGAACAATGGAATAATCTCTAGACCTAGCCATGTAATTCCATAAGAATGTCAATTGGCTCTTTCAGCTTTCATTTCCCTCTTTTAACTCGCATTTATAATTTCAGGCCATAAACTTACTGAGTGGCACAAGAGCTGAAAAGCAAATGTAAATAAGGCATCTTCCTCTCTCTATTAATAGCAATGCTCCAGGGATTTGTGATTATATATGTATGTAGCTGCACAGCCTTTCTCCAGTCCCTAATTACATGGGATGTCCTTCTCCCAAGGATAAAGCAGGATGTCAGGTACTCCAATACCAAAAATACCAGGTGAAGAGACACGCTTCTCTCCTGAGCACACCTATCCCATCTGGGCTGCATACTCATCTAAAAGTATGCACTGACACCCATGACTAACCTTCTGCCTGCAAGCTGTGTCCCATCAGTGTTAGATGTACTCTCAACAGATGAATCTCAACAGATGAATACTCTCTTTTCCACACTACAAAGTCTTACAAATAAAAGCCCAGTGAAATAATTAATAACTTGGTCCCCAAACAAAAGCTTCATTCCAAAATATAGAATCAAAACTTTTGAAGTGCTCAACCAAGTCATCATAGCCATTTTGCCCCATACCTCAAACAGAGACTACCAAGAAAAGCTGGAAATTTCTCATCAAGCTTAGAGATCCTAATCCCAGAAAACTTCCAAGACATACCAATATACTTTAAAAGACATAAAAGAGTAAGGGCAGAACTCAAGAACTTTATTTTATAAAGTCCTGAATTTTACAAATACAGAAGAAAGTAGCCAATGCAAAGCACAAAATACAAAGAGTTTAAAGAGTTTTCTTCATCTCAAAACACCTCAAACCACGGAAGGAAGCAAACTGCACTAGAAGAAATTTACAAGCAGTCTTCAAGGGAAGTACCATGTAAAGCACACTGCATTAATCTAGACTTGACATTATGAGGGCATGTCTCAATGTAGCAAGGTCCATTCTAAACACCAGATCAGAGACAGAACATTAAAGTAAAACATTAGATGTCACAGTCACTGTTCTACTGATCTGGGAAAGGCAGAGACTCCAAGGTGAGCAGAAACTATGAACCTGCTTAATAAAGGCCATTCTTGCAAAGTCAAAAAATCATACATCCAACATTTTCATCCCTTCATTAAAATAGAAATACTAAAAAGGAGCACTCCATAACATATCCCCAATGCTTCTGACTGACACATTGAATCAAAGGTAAAAGCAGAAGTTTAGCAGAGATAATTAAAGCAACAAAGATTCTTCAGCACAAGACAGCACAGCTGAGCAGCCTACCAACCAGAAAATGAAGTATTTTGTTTGTTACTTAAACCAGAAGCTGTTAGTTGACTACTTCCTTTTGTCAGGCATGGAAAGGTTTTCATCTAGAGGTAATTCTGAAAAACACCTCACCCTGTGTTATGCCTGTATGAAGCCCAGCAGAAATGGATGATAAAGAAAAAAACAAGTAAGTATTTGCTGGCTTTCCTTCTCAACATTTCAGAGAAAAATGCCCATTTAATGCTGACAGCAAACAAGGATGTCAGTCTAATTAGATTTTGTTCTGTCATGCTCCTGATCCTGTCTAAGTACTCCTCTGAAAAAAATCTGATTGATGATGAAGGCACAATTATACAAACCTTAACATTCTCTCTAAATGCAGCTATGCCAAAAAGGGAGAGAGGGTAGGGAA